AATACTGTACCCACCTTCACTCATCTCTTCTACCTCAAGATAGGAACCGTAGAACAAAGCTCAAGGTTGATATACATGTGTGATTCTTTTTTTTTTTTACATGTGTGATTCTTGTAAAAAGAATACATTATCATATGACTGTTACTTCCTTAACTTTAGGAGACTAATTAACCTCCTTCTTTTTTTACATTTGTGCATGGTATTTCAGACTTGAGATTTGTGGCTTTAGGCCAGTAATGTTGCACAGCTCTCTCCGTCCTGCCAGTTATGGCTCCTCCCACCCTCAAGTTGCCCAAAGAACTTGGGCTAAGGTTCTTGGCTCTGGTTCCATGAGGAGCAGCAATCTGAATGTCAGCTTCATCTCATGTTGGGTCTCTGGTTCTCCACTGTGACTTGCCATTGCTGCTGCTTCCGTAGGCCCTGGTTTGGCTGGAACAAAAATCCCTGGCCCCAAAGGACAGGTTGCATTCCCTTGCTGCTGCTTAGATGGTAGTGAGATTTCTCCTGAGACTAACTCCCTTTAAAAAAACATTTATTAGTACTTCTGAAATGGAGTAAACCCACTGTCTGTCTTTATCTTTTGAAAGAGGTCTTTTTAAAGATGGTCTTCCAAGGGAGAATCTAGAATAATTAATTCTTCCCCCCATCTTTATCAATGCATTTAATTTGAACTTTCTTAATGAAAACTCATCTCTCATAAATACGGGGTTGGACCATTCTGCATGTGCCTGCTCTGTCCTGCATTGACTGATGTGTAAATAAGAGGCAATCTGGTGGTGAGTTTTGCTTGTGTGGTGCGGAAGGGTGGAGAGGGAGGAGGGTTTGATGAATAGAGGCAACCAGAAAATGTACTTGATAATAACATGGCCATGATTGATGTTGCAATTCCTGAAAAATTATCATTGTGATATAATTATTTGTTTATGAACTGTGCCCTGAGACTCCCAAGTTTGTGATTATTCATGGCACAGATAAAACTCTAAAGTCAATAATTCATCAAGGGTATAATGGTTTTTTGGGGGAGAGGTGGGGGACTCATGGATATTACATCCTGTTTCTGACACTTCCGCTATAAATCTGAGAACTCCTTCAACACAAGGAAGCGCCACCTTCTTACCCTCTGCTCCTTCTTTTTATTAATTCCCCACAGTAGTTTTAACACTTTGCATATATTATTTTTGAGGTTGGTGGCTCAGTGGTAGGTTTCTCGCCTTCTGTGCAGGAAACCTGGATTTAATTCCCAGAAAGTATACCTCTTGTACATTTTTCTGCAAAGGTTTGCATGCTGCTTTTATGCTGAACAGATTTCAGTGGACTTTGTGGACTAAGATGAGGAAGAAAGGCCTGATCATCTACTTCTGAACATCAGCCAACAAAACACCACTGGACTTGCACAGCCCAATTCATGAATCATAGGAATGTCACAGGATCCAGAAGCTTTTTGTTCTGTTGTGTCTGGGACACTAGGAATCAGAGCCAGTTTGACAGCACCTAACAAGAGCAACATATTTTAAAAACTAAGTTACCTTTTCCCCCCGAAAAATTTATTAACATGAAAGAATTTATCTGGATCATTCTTCCTGTCATTTTCTCATAGGGAGAGACCAATAAAAGAGTAAAAGTACCTTGCAATGGTCCCCAGAACAGTACTAAGCAGTAAATGGACATTCTGCGCTTGTGAGTCTTCATTCCAGGTGGAACATAAGCTCAGTGCTATATTTGAGTTAATCTCTTTTATTTTGGTCCATGAAAGATCTCACCAGTTTTAGGAAATTGATGAGTACATCTCCTAATTTTTTTTTATTGAGTTTTGAGTAGATTGAGTAGATGTCACAGTCTGGACGTCTCTTCCCCTAGTTCTGTGGCCATAAGCTGGCTGACAAGGTAGTGTCTCTCTCCACTTCTATTTCCTTCGAAGTCTCTTTCCGCCTCAGTTTATTTAATGCTTGCTATGGATGCCTTGAATGCTTGTTTGCCCAGGGTCAATGAATGTAGGACTAGATCTCTCCTCTCTAGCAGGCCTGTGTGCAGAGGTGTCACACAGTACTTAAAGTACAATGAAAAGGAAAAATGTGTTTTCTGAGGGACAAGGTTTTGCTTATCTTCCATGTCTATTGAGCTTTTTTCCTTAAATTGCCTTTTACTTAAGGACATGTCACTTTCTGTGAGGACTATGTACATATAGGAGGGAGTGGTCAGGGGAGACCTGTCTTAACAAGTCTGAAGATCCAAGATGAACTACTTAAATAATGGCTTGTAAAAGTCATTTTATTCCAAGGTGGTATTAATTAAGAGGACGTTAATCCTACAGAAACCCTGGTGGTGCAGCAGGTTACGTTTGGGAAGTTTGAGTCAACCAGTTGCTCTAAGGAAGAAAGATGAGGCAGCCTTCTCATTAATATTTACTGCCTTGGAAATATGGGCAGGCACCAGATCAGTCTGGAACTATGTGATGGATCCAAGGTGTTCTCTTTGAATTGTAGTGTTCACAAATTCTAGGAAACCTAGACAAGAATGACCAGGAGGATGAAGGGTTCTGCCACAATGCACCTGGGGGCCAATTGAAAGAACAGAAGACATTTAGGTCAGGGACGGAGACTCTGGCACTCATCTTCATTGTCTGAAGGATAGCCACATGGGAGTGGGTTTTAAATGGCCCAGTTAACTTTAGAGGCAAAAGTTCAGCTCAATACCTTCTAAAAGGTGTTCTAATCTGTCATATGAGGTCATTATAAATTGAACTAAACTTGATGGTATATAATAAATACAACAACCGTCATTATGAGGTATCTGAAGGAAAATTCACCCAAGGGTATGGATTGGGTTTATCAAGACTGTCCATCTTTGTAACAGTTTCCTAGGTGAGCATATGGATTCACTTACCTCAGCAGCCCAGATGCTTTTGAAGTCTGACTGCTGTCATCATTCCTTGGAAATTATGCTCAAGACCCATAAGAATTGTCTTTTTCACTATAGGGCATAAAGTACAGGCAAACCTCCTTCTCCAGTTACACACACACACACACACACACACACACACACACTCACACACACTTAATCTAAATTATAATCTTGGCTTGAACAGTCTGTCTTCTGAGTTTGATAATGTACATTATCTCTTTCCTACCCTCTGATGTAATACATTTGCCAAAGTGATTTTGAATATTTTAACAAATGTTTAATGTAAATAGACTTTGTCTAGGATTAGGGAAAGTGGGTAAGGACTAAAGTTAACAAGGGTGGAAACCAGTTTCTTTATGTTTAACTGAATGAGACCTCGTCCTGCCTGCTTGTTTTATTGAAATTACTTTCCTCTTTCCTCTAGTGCCAAATAAAGAAGTATCAGCTGGGAGGGAGAAGGGCGGAGGCACAGAGAACTGGGACACTGACCCCAGTTTTGTCATTCACCTGCAAACTGGAGCCTTGACAAGTCCAGCTGCTGTCAGGCTGGCAAAGGAGAGGCATCACACCTCTGGGAGCTCAGGCCCTGGCTGGGCTGTCTGCCCTGGGGCTGGGGATATGGCAGGGTTTCCTGATTATCAGAGGGCCTGAGCTCTCTTTCTGGCTGACAGACAAATGTTATTTATTTGAACAATGACATATTTTAGCATTGAAGGGTACAAGTAAAGGAGAGGGAAATTATTGATGCTGAAGCAAGCCTTTTCTGTAAGAATCCAGGATTTTCATTACTGTAGAAGCTCCAAATACCATAGAATTTAAATTCACCCTTGATTGTGCCAGGCTTCCCCATCTTAACCTCTGTCACCATACCTGCAGATAACAGGGCTGAAATGATGCCCAGAAGTGTTAACAAGCAGACCAATGGTGTCGTCCAGCAGGCAGAGCCTCAGTCCTAATCTTACCATACACTGTCCCTCTGTCTTAGTAGACCCTCCTCCATGCCAAGAGCTGAAAACCACTGCTAGCTGCCAGCTCCATCAATGCCTAGCAGACGGAGTGCCTTGGGTGAACGAGCTTCATCATTCACCATCATCTGTTCGGAAATGAATTTCTAGCTTCACCAATTTTTTATTTATTAATCTTGCTATATACTATATCCTCCTGCTCTTGAGAACAAATTTTGGAAAAGCACTTGGGAGAATCTAGTTCTATTTTTCTCTATCACCTTCTCCCTAATTCTAACTTTTGGGGATACCATAGAAAGGTCTAGGGCCCCACAACTTTAACCACATTTCCATAGCTTCCATTCTGAAGCAATTCTCCATTAATAAAAGCCACCCAGATTGGCAAATGCTGTTGAAGATTTAAACCAGAGGTATGGTATTTATTGCTAGTTTTTATATGAAAATGTTTCTTTCTTTTAGCACAACCCATTTGTATCTCTCCGTTCTTTAGTGACCAGAGATTTAACATGAGCCTATCTGTGCCCCTAACTTTGAGATAACAACTGAAATGTTCTTCTTTTAAGTATTAGCCAGCTGACCTGCCTTAAAATGTGACAAGTGGCTAGGTGACCTAAGCATGACACAGCACATCCATGACTTATTCAGCTTGTCTGGAGAAGGAAAATACATATTTAGTATAAAGAGAAGATATAAGCAATGATACAGTTACGTAACAGATTGCAATAAATGAAAATATTGAGTGCATTTTAAATGATTAATGTATGAAAACTGTCATAATTTACTGTGCATTAATCAATAAAAAATGCACATGTCTCACAGTGGTTAATGTTACAGGCCCATTGTTCCGCTTTGATAATGTGCATAATAATGCTCAGTATGACAATGGAGTTGGGGTAGCTGAAAAATTTAGGATGATTGCAAGTTTGGCGTAGTATTTGGATTAGCATCTTAATCTGTGCCTTGTCAGCCTCATCAGTCCACAGGCTATGGTTTTGTTTTTTTAACTTATAAAATTATGGATGCTTTGATTTGGTTTCTTTTTTTTTAAAATATGATGACCAAGGTACCTGCTTAAACAAATACTACCAGCATTCATTAGTTAGGATGGTTACATGTGAAAGAAATGATGCCAGATAGTAACAAATCCAAGAGAAGTTTATTATGAAAATGGCACCTGCGGATGAAAAATTAAGTTACATAAAGACAACCATGTATGTGACATGTATGAGAATCTACAAAAGTATAAAAAGAACCCTGTTGTAAATGAAGTATGTACATTTCTGATTTGCAGCATTATCAATGGTCAATGAAAAGAAATGTTTCAAAATAAGCCAGGCACTCAGGGAGTTAGGTCCGGTTAGCTTCACACAAAACAAATGTACCATAGCTGTCGCTTTGTAACATTTTAATTTTTTTTTTATATGTTGTAGAGTTGGTAACACTGCTAAGATTTTTACGAACAGAATATCCCTTTCCCCATTATTCAGCTACTTGGCACCAGTCTCCTCATAAAAGTTTTCATATATTTGTACAAGAAATCGTTAAAAACACACACACACACAGTCTTCACAGGTAATGAATTGGGTTTTTTTTTGTGGGTTTTTCCATTTTATAATTTTAAACACTATGGATTTAGACAGCAGCTGTGATTATCTGTTAGTTTAAATCACCAGAAATCATTTTGACACAACACAGAAACATTTATAAAAGAAAAAGAACTAACAGCTGTCTAGCTGTTCTTAGTAGCTGATAGGTGCATTCCTTTGATTGTTCGATAGCTAGAGTAGAGCTTCCAAAATGAATCTTTAAATTTCTCTACTGGCCTTCTTCACCTTTTAAACTTACTTAAATCCTTCAAGAAGGCTCACTGTTCAAATTTGTGGCATTTCTTATTATTCCACCGTAGTCTGGGTCCAACTCCTAGAATTCAAAGGTCCTAGAGGAATCCACTCAACACAGTGATATTCAAAGGACAGCCATTTACTATATTTAGCATTTGCACACATAAACAAATATATGACAATTCTATATTCCATCCCCCCTCCCCTTTTTAAAAAAAATGTTGGTTGACCTTTGAAATAATTTTCTGTCTCACTAGTAATTGCTGTATATATTGCTCCATCAGCCAACCTGGAAGGAAACCAAAGAAAAGCACCCACTGCTTATAGGTAGAGCACAAGGGACTCTGGGAATGTTAACAACTGAGGCTATATGGCATCATTTTATTGAATAGTTCTGAGCATTATTCTTCAGTGCTTTGTGTTGCACTCCACAAGAGAGAGAGTCATACCCAGAATTCCATTGTGAAAAAAAATGGCTCCATTAACCTTGAGCTAGTTAAGAGTCTTTATATCTCTGAGAATGTAAAAGATTTTCGAGAGGAAGGAAAGAAGAGGAGGGAAAGGGAAGACTTGAAAGGGAGAGAGCGAAAGGAGAGGTAGGGAGAATATACACCAGCAAAGCAACAGCAGGAATTTTCCAAAGTAAAACAGAAGATTCACAGACAGTAGAAGCAGCATAGGGTGACATTACAGAGGAAGGCCACCACACAAAAACCACTAATCCCCAAGTATCACTGATTCACTAGGACTGCAGGAGTGGGACTGTACCACTCCAGACTAGAGATAGAGCACAGAGAAGACAAAAGACAAAACAACTACATTAGCTTAGTATATACTGCATATAGAAACACACATTGAAACTGCAATGGGACTGACAGCCAAGGACACGTACACATTGTACACATTACAGTTTTCACATCTGTTATTAGATGCCTTAACAAACAGCTGCCAAAAATGGAGAGGAAGAATTTATACTTGACAGTCATTTGGAGTGTTTGACACTACACTGATTTCTGGCAACAAAGACAAAATAGGATTTTTTTTTCCTTTTTATTTTTTCTTTTTTACTTAATGTGCAGTTTTCAGTTGCAGTTATCTATTTGAAGCTTATTAACCCATTCTTTAGTTTTAAAACTTATTGGTTTCAACCTAGAAATAAGAGAACCAAAGGGAAAAAGAAAATCAAATCAGTCCCCCCAAAATACAACCTTCCTTTTTGTGTTTTGTTTTTTTTTAAGCAAGAAACCCAAAAAACCCTGCACAAAACATGTTAAACAGTTTTCCTTCTTTTGCTCTGAAGTGTTACTGAAGTTGCAAAATTAGCCTCAGTTAGACTGAGTAAAAGAAAAAAGAAAAAAAAAAAGCTCAACAAAAGGCAGTATGTACCTAAACTGCTCCTCAAATCAGTTTGAGTTTTCCAAAAGCCCTTTTAAAAAGGGCTTGGCTGACCCATTAAATTTAATGTGAGGCTATGTTTGTTAGTTGGGAGGTAAAAAATCTTAAGTCCTGCAGCAAACGTTAATGAGGGCTTTGTCTTAACTAACCAAGGAGACTGCAGCAATGGACTCCAGACCAGGACAGGACACATTCTTTTCCAAAACCCAGCCTGGGAGCTGCATTTTGTATGAAGACATTACAGATTAATAAATGATAGCACCATGGTTTTAGAAATTAAGTTAATGTTTCAGTAATTAACATTTAGTCCAACTTTTTTTGTGTGTTTTTAAACATTCTAGTCACAGGCCAGAAATTAAGTTTAAGAACCCAAATTATTTTTATGTGCAAGTAAGAAAATCTTAAAATCTTAACCATAAAAAGAGAATTAAATTCTGCATAAAATTCTAAAATACTATCCCCCTATTTTTTTTAAATTTTTTTAAAGTAATTAGGAACAAAACCAAAACACCACCCCATTTCATTTGACTTAGTCAAACAGGGCACATTGTTTATACTTGTCTCTTTCAATCTTGATCATATCAAGATCTTGATGAAGGAAAAAAACCCCCAATGGTTGTCACTTGGGGAAAAAAAAATCTCTTGACCACAAGACTGAGTATTCTATGGCAGAGGCATATACACATTAAAGACATCTTAATAAAGATGCAAAGGAAAGAGGGGGAAGAAAACAGCCCAACCCAACACACATCTTGGAAGAAGACAAAATGGCAGGCAACTGGTCATCTGACCCTCTGGAGGCAAAAAATAAACATATCTTTACACAAAAGAAGACGTCAAGTGAAAGGAAAGGGGGATGGGAGTGGGGACCGTTGTGTGGAGAGTAGACGCTGACCTGCTCGAATTCAAAGTGCTAGGGTTAAAGGTCATGGCGAGCACGCCGAAGAGCACGAGCATGACGATGCCACTGCGCGCTGCGCTTTGCGCACAGGCCTCAGTCTTCCTTGCGCTCCAGAGTCTGTGTCGCATGGATGCCATTGCTGTAGACGGGGAAGGGCAGCGTGGAGAAGAGTCCCTCGGCCGTGGTGAACACGTTGCCTGCGGGCATCTGCGTCAGGCTGGCTGCGCTCACGGCGCTGCCAAAGGGTCCTGACATGTTGAGCCGGTGCACGTGGTGGTAGAGCATCTCCATGGGCGTCTTGGGGTCGAGGCCAAAGCCCGGGCTGTTAACGTCCACGAAGTTAACAGCGTGCGCATTGGGCAGCAGGTTGCCCTGCATGGCCAGGGTCACCTCGGCCGGCGCGTAGCGTATGGTGCCTGTAGTGTAGACCCTCTGCGCGGCTGTGCTGGTGGCGGCCAGGGTCCCTGTCACCCTGTGCACCAGCGGGAGCACAACGTTGCCTGCCTGCAGCCTCTGCAGGGCCTCCAGGTCCCCAGTGTACAGCAAGGAGTTGGACGCGCTGGGGCCACTCGCGCTGCCGCCGCTGCCCCCGGGGTGCTTGTCCCGTGGGGAGGCCGACAGTGGGGGCGACAGCGGATCAGTGGCGACCGGCGCCAAGGCCGAGGTGGCCGAGGAGCTGAACTGAGTCTTGCGCGCAGCTGCGCCATCGGTGCCCGGTGGCGTGAGGACCGAATCCGGGATGGCCACGTGCAGCCCACCGCCGCTGCCGCCGCTGCCCTGGGGGGACGGGAAGTGCTCGGAGCTGGGGGGCTTGGTCATGCTGTAGGGAGACTCGTTCCTGGAGATTTCCCGGTTGGGCGGGTAGTTCCAGATACTGCTGTCATTGTCGAAGTTGATGGGTTCCGAGATCTCCGTCTTGATCTTGAGCACTGAGGCACTGTTGGGGGACGACAGCAGCCGCGGGGGCTCCACCAGGCCCGCATCCAGGCCGCCGGGGCTCGAGGCGCTGGATAGCCGGCGGCGGCTGGCGCTGCCCCCTTTCTGCCGTTTCCGCCTCTTCTTGCGCTTCTGGTGCTTGCTGGAGGCCTGTGCGCCCGCCTCGCCCGCGCTGTCCGAGTCCTTGGCGCTGTCGGACGTGAGAGACTCGCAGTTCTGCAGCCGCAGGTCCGACTCGCTCTCCACGTAGCGCTCCACCTTGATCTGCATGGGGCCCAGGCCGCTGAAGCCGTCCTCGGACGCCTTGGGGTTCTCAAAGTCCGAGTGCTCGAAGCTGTCGTCGCTGTCGCGGCTGTCGGGGTTGCTGGAGCTGTGGCCATCGTCGTTGCAGTTCATGTCGTTGTCGCACGCGTTGCCAGACTTCTTCCGGTCTGGCTCTGGGTCCTCGCTGTTCTCAGACTGGTTACCTTTTTCATCAGACTTGGAGTTCTCATTGTCCTCTGAGTAGGGCCCGTGGGCAGGGCAGGGGCGGGAAGGACAGAGAGAGACAACACACACTGCATTAGCAGGGGAAGAATCTATTGGTGAAAGGGGTGCTGTCTCAACGTGCGCATTTAACTACCTGATAGCGTCAACCCTAGTCTTTCTCTCTGGGAAGAAAGACCATGCTTATGCGCAGCGCTTTCCATTGTCCAAAAGAATTCGTACCATCTGAGACTTGTCCAGGCAGCTCTGGTGGCCGCCTCCTGCAGGGAGCTGTGCTGCTAAACCCACAGATGCTGCCTCTCTAGAGGCTGGAATCACCCAGGTGCCCTGTGGGAGAAAGGAGCAATCTCCTCTCCTCTGATGCACAGACTAGGAAACGCATGGCGCTCTAAGCTGATTTTGACTCCTCAGTAATGAGTTAAGAGTGAGGTTTGTTCTAACTCACTGCTGTTGAGCCAGTAGGCTCACAGCTGCCCTTCATTGCGTTTTCAAGGTGGTAAATCATAATGCAAGATTTCCCATCATTCTTTCATGGAGCATGGTGAATTCACACAGCAGGAGATGCCTGGCCTTTGAGTTAGCAGTGCAAGTCCTTATCAGTTACACCACCAGAGCTCTTGGGGCTTGCCAGAAAGGTGGGGAGTGAAATTCTGCTAGAATGGGAAAATGATGGGTGGCAGGCCTGGAATGAGCTATTTGGAAGAGAAGTGAGCCCTATGAGGAGGCTGCTGCCTGAGGGTGTAGTATTGGCAGGACCATGGAGAGTCACACACATTCAAAGTAGCACTGTCAGCTGCCATATTTGAGCAGTGCTACTATTTTGAAACCCTACTTTAGCTATTTTTGCTGCCACAGTGCTTCTTGGAGGGAAAGGTGGTGAGGCTTTTTCTCTCATACTTTGGGCATATTGCTAGGAGAGGCTATTCTTTAGGAAGGGACATCATGCTTGGAAAGATGAGAGTCACTGAAAGCGAGGAAGACCTCCAATGAGTTGGATTGACACAGTGACTGCAGCAATGGGCTCAAGTGTTTCAGATGATCAGGATGGCACAGAATAGGGCAGGAGTCAGGTCTGTTGTTCTTAGGGGTTACTATGAGTCATACTCAGTGACACTTAATAGCTTTAATGTGCCAATTTGCCTTCATTTTGAAACAAACGAACTATCTCCTGCCCACAACAAATTCTCCATTAAAATCACTGTCACTTCCTATTCCTGCAATTTGTAAATCATTGCAAAGCTTTTGAGCTTTTCCTGCACTAGAGTGAGGTTAAGCAAGAACCACGTGCACCTATTCTGGCTGGCCCACCTACACATTTATAAAGACAGGAATGGCTCTCATTTGTAACTCGAGGACCATATATGTGTAAAAGCAAGCCACCTGCTTTGCTTCTGAAGATGGTTACTGTCCACGCCTTTCATCAGAGAAGGCAAACCATAAGTGCAGAACACAGAGGAGAAGTAGTAATACCTGTAATACCTGAGGTGTCTTTCGAGTCTGATTCTGAGTCAGAGGTCTCTGAGGATTCTGATGTTTTCTCTGGCAGATGTGGGAGCTGTGCGATGTCCATTGGGGTGTCCTTGTACTCAGGGTTACTGTGGGTCAAGGCAAGATTCATCAATAGTGCAAACACTCATTCTGCATTGTAGACTTTTGACCGAGATGGTCTCTCGGTCTCCTAACCCAAACTTTTGGAGTTTAGAGAAAGACTATATGTGAAATCACTTTTCAGGGTATCAAGGGACATTTATGGAAACTTACATTACCTATGCCAGGGCACAGGTGCACCATGATTCAATGACTGAAAACCCAAATGCTGTGTGAAACCCACTAATCAGATACCACTGGGGGCCGAAAGTACTCCGTACTACTTGGAATTTCTTCTGGTATAACATCTACAGGAAGGGAGGATGACGATTCATTCCCATACCACCTGGCATGCTCTGTCTTCTCTTGGGCTAATGAATCCATTGCCACAGTACTCTTGTCTTGGCCCCTTTATGTAGCTCCTCAGATGTTCAGATGGCTCCAAAGCTACTGAGGGAGGGAGACCTAGAGCTCTAAGTGCCTAACTATATGACAGATGCACAGGTGCACCTTGGGATGCATGTATTATGGCTACTGAACTGTCAACACACCCATTACAATCACATTTTCATCTGCTCATGTGGTGTACACCTGTGGCTTGTTAGCTGGAAAACTGATTGCCGTGGCGAGCGTCCCAGTGTGAAACAGGCCCTAACACACTAGATCTAACCCCATTTTCACAAACAAGCTTAATTTTCATTCTATTTTTAATTTGGAAATGAGCCTGTTCTGGAAAAGACAGCATATTTGGTCAGTTTGAGTTGAGTCTTCTGGGAATGCCACTCTAAGACCAGCCCATCAGTGATCTGTAGACTACATTTGTTGTCATCTCAGGCACAAGGGTAACTTTTTGCCTCTAAGTAGGAAATAGCTCTTCTGTCCTTCTGTGATAGCCTGCCAAACAGAGATTATAGTAGTTGACTACTAAATTATTTGATAATCTCTACTGAAATGACCATATTAGGGCTTAACCACTACTAACATTGTAAATGTCCCTGGGTGGGTGGGTGGGGGGGTTACTTCACTATAATGGATTATTAGACAGTTACTCTCTAGTAAATTAGCAAGATCCTCAGTTCTCTGTAGGTAATCAGAGACTAAGGGTAGGAAGGTGGCTTTAGTACTTCCACAACCTTGAAATACTGTGGCAGTCTCCAGTTGCATTAAGCATTGTAAATAAATGAATAGAAAACTGAAGAAACAGTAATTATAGCAAAGGAACCTGGATATGAGGGATTCTAGTAAAGAAGTGGTAACATGAATGTATTAGAGAGGAATAGTATACGAATGGGGGAAGGGGGGAAGCACCCCACATATTGCAGTGGTTTTTATCTTGCTACTTTTATTATTAAATCTCTTGCTCCTAGAAATGATAGGCAGTGAGTAGCAGACTTGGTTGCATGCACTCTGCTTGGCCTAGAGGAGGCCTGAGGTAGGGCACATACATATCATTTGTCACTCAGATATTTTTTTATCATTTACTTCAGGGGACTCGTTAGGCCATCTGAGATAGGTTCTCCACATTTTTAATTGTGGCTATTGGACCTAAAGATAGGTTTTTGTTACCTATATTCTTTCCAAGCTATCTATATGAAAATAAGTAAAATCACCAAACACTTATGGGTTTGGGCCATTTGGATCAATGGTTTTGATGTAAAGTTGCATGAAATGTCTTCTCAACCATAATCACTCCCTCCATGTGGGGTGGAGTAGAAAGCCATAGGGTTGGAGAGGCAATAATAGAGATCCAGACAGGAAGAAATCACCTAGGCATTGTAAAATGAGGTAAACATAGAGTTCTATGGTAAGACCCAAATAGATTCCTTCAGGACACACTGGGTTCATCAGCATGGGGCAGACCCCTTCCAGCCTATGGTGTTGCTGTTACCTGTGTCTAATGCTGAGTGCTAATGGGTCTGCTTGTCACAGTGCTATTTTTCTTGGCAAAAGAACGTCAGTGCGACAATGCTATGTTCCATTTTCTGTTTGCCATGTGAGGTTTTCTAACCTACATGACATAGGACTGTTGTGTCTTAAAATGCTATGTAAAAGGATTCCCTGACATCAGAACCTATCTTGAATATATTTTAAAAATACAGCGAAGACTCTGAAAATCAAGCCTTAGTCGAAGTCACATTAAATGCAGACTTTTTACCTTTAAAAGAGAATTAATGTAGAGTAGGAGAGGTCAAAAAAGAAAGTAGATAAATGAAGACTCTTTTAAGTGGTGTACATTAAGGCCCTCTCCAGAGCAATAATCATTAGGATCTGATTGATATGCTATTGGTAGCAAGCACATTCATGCCTTCAAGTTTTCTCCAAAGTGTGTGAATAACTCTGAAGGGCCAGTGTGCTGATGAGCCACGGTTGTTAGCATCTCAGCTCCATTTGACTGTCTTAAAGAAAAATGGGACTCAGGTACTCTCTGACTAGATTATCAGCCAAAGGGCAAAGACTTCCATTCATAAGACCTCTTGGAAGTTTTCTTATACTATGTGCCAAAAACAGGGATGATGGTGGTGGGAGGGAGCCGCGTTGTGTGAAGGAGAACTGTGACAGCTGTAGCACAGGCTTGGGGAGAAGCTCCTAAGAGGTTTGTCCCCAGACCCAGACCACCCAGTCTATTTCCCTTGGTTACTGTCTGTTTGGCTGAGCCCCAAAGCAGGAAAGTAGATAGCGAAGCAGAAAGAAATGGCATCCCGCACCATACTAAAGACCAGCATTAGCTTGGCCTCGTTTAGGGATATAAGTTTGAGGACCTAACAGCTGTGAAACTTGCCTGAGATCACACTGAGTTAGGCAAAAGAAAATTGCTTGCATTTTTATACTGATACTGTCTTGACTCTGGCAAAGCAATTCACTTTACCTACCAAAACTTTAATGTGCAATAAAATCCTGTAAGATACAGGGAGGGCTTCTAAGGGATAGGATACAAGGAGGAATCAACACACTCTATTTTGTTCTTTTCTTTTTTTGCTTAATTTTGACAGGGTTTAAAGTCTACCACCAAACCCAAACCCACTGCAATCAGGTTGGTTCTGACTTCTGGAGACCTGGGAGAACAGAAGAGAACCTCCTCATAGGGTTCCCAAGGCTATACATTTTTACAGAATGTGACTGTCTCATCCTTTTCCTGTGGAGTAGCTGATGAACTTGAACTGCCCACTTTCCAGCTAGAACCCTAATGTTTAACCCACTGTCCTCCATTGCTCCTTTTCACAGAGTTGAGAGTGTGAATTTTGAATGTTTCAACTGTAGATAAAAGTCTGTATTCTTGTTCTGGCTTGAACTATTTGTGAGGAAACCAAGGCCTCTTCTTCAGAACTTCTTAAATGTTGACCAGGAAGTGCTGAAAAGTTTTTAGATCTGACCTGGACTACCCACCTTTTATCCTTGCACACTTCTTTACATCTTGTGGAAAAATGGGTAGAATTTCCACATAAGTCTTTGTAAGATACTGTCCAAAAATTCACACAGCATGTTAGCTATCAGCTATTGGGCTACATATTATGTAACTAAGACAGAAACAAAAAAGAATTAGAAAGTATACCTAAGAAGATAATTCACCCAGATGATATTCTTCTCGTTTGCATTCTTGGCATTAATAGCTATGGTAGCACTAGACTGTATCCAAATATATCCTCCATTCTTCTGCATCCAACGATAATACTTCGTCACACACTGACCCTTATTCAGCACTGGAGGAGGAAAACAGAACAAAAAGAACTGTGCATTAAGACTGGGACTAGGTGAATTTCACCTCTGCAAAACCTCAATTGTAGAGCTGGAAGGTCCCACTCCAAGCCGCAGTGCCCCATGTATGCTTAATGCAGAATGCCATTAGTAGGACAAATAAAATCAACAATTCAGTGGAGCGGCAGCTCTGGAGTGGGGGTTATGACCATTTGTAGCAAGACGTTATTCCATATTAGGCAGCAATGGTGTGAAAGGAAGAATAAAAGGTCCACAAATCTTTTTGGCTCACAGAACACCTAATGCGGTGTGTATATTGTCAATGGGTTTGACGTCAGATGGTAAGAAAGGCAAATTCATATGTGATTTATTCATAGCTCCAAGGTAGACTTCTTTGAGATTCTGGGTATTTGAATGGTTCCAAAGATGCCTTATTCCTCTGTCTTTGATTATTTTACCTCGATGCCAGCTGTATCAACCAGCATACTTATACAGCCACTCTTTTTTGATCTTGTCTCACAGAATTTATAGTCTGTGGATGAACTCTATTTCCACTGGTCTGTCAGGGGGAAATTCTGGGGAGACTTTGCTTGATGCTGGAACAAAATAAATTCCCCAACCGAGTCAGAGAAAAAACAGTGGCCTAAGGGAGGCACAGAATTGACTTGGCTACAGCCAAACAGAGTGACAGCTCTGCACAGACGCTGAAATATGGCCCAAAATGAAAGAACAAGTAAAAACAATCAGTAATGTGAAACGGTGCCATTAAATACCCACTGCAAGAGAGCTTTAAAATGCAGATGTTAAAAATGATACTTTAACCAAAATCTTGCCAAGTTAAAATGGATTTGATTTGTATCTGGGTACTCCTGAGCTAGTAAAAGAGAAATATGCAGTAAATCATCCCCTGAAATAAAGTGCTATGGATGGGAATGGTTTAAAGGGATGCCGGAAATGTGCAAAACCTGCTGTTACTTCTTAGGTACTCTCGCAGTAACTCCATGCACCCTCCTCTCTCACAGCCGGCTGACCACTAGAGGGCAGTGTGCACTCATCTACATTGCCCACTTTTGGCATGTCCTTGTCTCCGTCTGCTAAAATGAAAAACCTCTAACTGCTGTAATAAATTTGGCTAAATTAGCTGCTAAATGGTTATCTCAAGTAATATGTATTTGCATTAATCATCTTGCTCTAAACCAGAACAAGCCAGAGTCCTAAAGACGTAGTAAATTCATATTGTCCATTTAATTATAGCTAATAAGTGCTTCATATACAATAGTTTCATGAAGTACATTTTGATTTTTTTTTAAGGGAGGGTGGATGAGTAAAAGGATGAAGTCACTTTGGTAAAAACCAATGTCTTAAGGATGTCGAAGCTCTTCTGGGTGTGCCCTGAGCCACCCTTCCTGGTTTTATCTGTGATCAAAAATCAACCCTCCACATAATATATCTCTAAACATTTAAACTTGGGGTGCTTTTTCCCCAATCACCCTCTCCCCCACAATATCTTAAACCAATGGTTATAAAATTTAGCAGTTATGTCTAACTATTGCTTTGAAAAATCTTTCTCTGATGAGATTTCAAATAGTGGAAAGTTTTGTTCTGAAACAATTCAACAGTTTGGGATATTTTTAAGAGCGGGAACTGTCATCTGTTGGTGTGAAGGAGCTGCAGGTAGCGCTGTGCTTTCCTTTTGTAGGCAATTGTAAGTTCTGCCATTCTACATGCATGGCTTCCCAGGCTACAAAACTGCGTGGTGAAGCTGAAAGCAGTAAAATACTAACTGCCATACAGCTATTCTGTCAAACCATTGTTGCATGCAACAAGATATGCTTTTATTCAAATTCTCTCAACCTGGTTAACTATTAATAGAAGATGACGGATTATATAATTCTGCCCACTGTTTTCACAGAGAAAACTTTTACCACTCAATCAGTTGTTGGCGATATAATTGTGTACTTTTGGTCTGAATAAAGAATTTCAAATACACCTACTCCTCACTTAGCAACGTAGGTAGGTTCCAAAAGCTAGACTGCTTTTTGGATTTAGCTTGGGTGAGAGTCAAGGGTGTGTTCTATCCTTGATAGCAGTGTGTCTCCCTCCTCCTGGTTGCTCATGATCTGTGAGATGCCCCTGAATCGTTTTGGTTGTGTGTGGCTCATTGGGTACCCTTTCATCACCACCCGTGGGTCGAGGGGTGGTTGTGCTGGTCAAATGTTACCAGATTTCCACTTCCTTCCACCATCTGCTTTGGGTGGAGATCCCATTAATTTTATGCCCACCACCTCCTGCCACCCGCCATGGCCAAAGACTACTTGTCTGTTGCTTCAGCTCTGTAGCCCCTTGTGGCCCCTCTCCACCCTTTCCTTCCTGTCTCCCCAACAGACCTCTCTTCTACTTTTTGGGTTTTCCTGAGTCTCCTCTTGCCATTTAAAACCTCAAGTTTTCCTGTTGTCACCCTGTGCTCTCCATGGCTGGACCTGGACATTGCTGGTGAATAAGAGTCCTGCAGAGGTTTAGTTACCATTCCAAGAATAGTTTGAAGTTATCTCTGATGTATCACTCGAGGCGGTCTGTGGAGGGTGCCTTGGAGTTGATCATGGCCTTATGCAGGGCCCATGCCCCTGCAGGTGCCATCTGAGAATTTTTCTAAGTTGTAAATGTGAAATATCAGAGAATGAGACAGTTGATACGTTAGAAATACATATAGATTTAATATTATTAATCAGGCAAAAAGACTAAGAAGCCTCGATTAGAATCTGATCCTGAAACACTAAAGAGATGAAGGTCAGATCTGGTCTAGCAGGGTATTCTGCACTGGACTTTAACCAAAAAAGCAGCAATAACAATAGGGGGGAAAATCCTCCAAAACAAAGTATAGACAGAGGCAAAGTAAAAAAAAGAATTACAAAGTATAATTTGGATTTTCAAAATCAACATAAAGATCACATACCCTACCTCCTAATAACATATTTTCTCTTCCTTAAAAGCAAAATCCCAATTTGAAAATGAATAATAGGCAAGAACATGTTGGTCTGCAGGTGTGTGCTGTTAAGGGGGTTGAAAGCTTATTTGTATATTTATTTAAAGTGTTATGTCTCTTTCATTTAAAACAGTGTGACTTAAATGTATTTGATTTTCATAAGAAGGAAAACAATAATTTCCTAGGATCCACAAATACTTTGAGAGTCTATATGACACAGGCTGTCAAGCAAGGAGAAGAGACCTGCAAGAAACAGGCAGGGCAGAGAGTTCTGATATGGGAAGGTGGTTGTGAATGGATGACTGGGGTAGTGAACCACTACAGAATTCCCTGAGGAACCAGAAGCTCTTTGAGAGCCCTCAACTTACCCTGGTTAACAATGATAACACAAGATCAGGAGCCCAACATTGTCAGCCAGAGACAAGTTTAACATAATTCATACTTTTCTCCTAGGCCAGCCTGAGTCTTTAAAAGGTAAAATCATTAGCATTGGCTTAGACGATGACCATTTCCTTGGGTTTGATGTTTTCTGAGAGAGCTCGGGTAGCCTAGTCCACAGGGAGGTGCACTCCTAACCCAAGGAGAGCCTCCACCTGTGTGGTTTACATTCTCAAAAAAACCCAATGGAAAGCCAGTTATGAATGGGTTCTGACTAGATGGTAATGAATGAAGAGAGTTTATGGAATGAACACTGCATTTATCAGTGACAAACAAGATACCTTAAAGCATTGAGTTAGCTCCTACTCTAACATGAAATGTTGACCAGATATTGTCCAAACATGAAATGTTGATCAGATACTGTCCAAGTGGCTTCTCTTTTTCAGGAGGTCCCATAAAAGAGGTCACAATGGAATCTTACCTCGTTTGAAATGAATAAAGCCTAATTTTGGCCTATATTTCTGGAATATCTATCTATGACTTTGAGATGAAGCTTCTTTCTTAAAAAAATAAAATCATACTGGCAAATCAGCTGGATGGTTCCAGCTGCGCCAGAGGCAGGCTCTGACAGCTTTTCCTGAGCTCATGTGGTCCTAATCAGCTCAAGAAGAAAAGCCACCTTGGTGCCAGTCTGAGAGAGATTTTTCGTTTGTAATAAATTAGAGAACTTGAAAAACAGAAAAACTTTTCCCAATTCTCTTTAATCCAGTGGCTGTTGTTTCTTTTCGGTTTTCGCTTTAGAGAAATGAGTGAATTTAGAGAAATGAGTGAATGTTTGTATAGTCTATTTTATAACAATCCCTTTAATGGAGGAAAACCATAAAAACCCCTAAAATTAAAAAAGCATGATAGAAGTTGTTTGATAGGAAACCCCAAACCAAAATCTACTGCTTTCCAGTTGATGCTAACTCCTGTTGACACTGGAGGACGGGTTAGAACTTCCCCATAGCATGTCTGAAGTTTTAAACTTTTATGTAAACAGTCTGCCTCATCCTTCTCCCCAGGAGCAGCTTCTGTCAGACCTTCAGGTTAGAAGCCAAGTGTTTTAACCATTTTTCCATTTGACTCTTTATAGGGAAGCCCTTAAGAATAGTTAATTATCCCTACAAAAAAGAGGTACTCATCCAATCAATGGGACCAAGAACAAATTTCTAAGCATGTACACAAACTAGAGATGGAAAGAAATAAAGCGTGTGTGTGTGCGCGCGAAGGTGCGTGCCTGCATGCGCGCACACACACACATATATATACGTATATGTATATATATGTATATGTGTATGTGTGTGTATATATATTATATATATATATATACACACATACACACATACATACACACACCCCATATTTTCAATCTCATGCCCATGACAACATAACATCTTTGGCTAAAATTTACCTTCTGTTTCCTAAAATTTTTGTGTACAACAGTTTATATGTTCATCCATGATCACATTACATTTCTAAAATTTAATTTTTTTCTATAATTATATTTTATTAATTTTCATAAACATTTACAGAGCTTTTGGGTTTCCATTCATTCATTGTTGCACTATTCTCTCTACCCTCCTCCCAGTTTGTTCTTGTCCA